TCCTCCTTGTGGAGGAGAAAATGGAACAGACTATTTAGGGACCTCCAGAGCCTCAGATCACATTTAGAAATCATCTTTAAAAGGCTTCTTTATTTGACTGTCTGAAACTATTAAATATTTCTACCATTTGTGCACATTTTCAAGGAAAAGCAGAAATGGGCAAGTAGAGAAATATGGCTATTGGGTTTAATTACACAACTGTCTTGGCAAATTAAATGTGTTGTGGGTGAGGTTGGAAGACTCCAAATGACAGAACACACTTTGTCATTTGGAGTCTTCTCCCTGGCAGTCTCAGCATCTGCTTGTTTTTATTCAGATATTTTTTTAATAACTGTAGCTAAAATATTGAAAAAGAAATGGAGCTGCATATTGCCAAATGTGTAAAATAACACATCTGTGTCCTTCCATCAGCCAAAGTCAAGCCCATCGTCATTTCGGACTCGAATCACTCCAGCTCAGATGAGGCGTTTGAATTCCAGGGTGACAGTGAAAGCAACTCTGAATCGGACACAAACTCTAAGAAAAAGGCTCCTCCCAAGCCCAGACCTGCTCCCAAGTGAGTATTTTTCCATAATCACTGGAAATTAGTAGTGCTTAATGCTACACAGAAATTAAAAGGAATTTTTTTCTAATGCCCTTCTTTAGTGCGTCATAAAACAAATTAAAAACTTGGAGTTTTGTTTTCCAGGGAAACCACCGAGAAAGCAGCAAAAGCTCCCAAGCAAAAGGCAGTGCCAAGCGCTGACCCTGGTGAGTGTGAGACCTCTAAACCATGTGGATTGCTCTATAATCCTTCAGCAGTGCAGAGGGGATAGCTTGGCTGTTTCAGGCTGACCTTCTGCTCTCCTTATCCCGTTCCAGTCCAAGATGTCCCTGAGGACAAGGTGAGCCAGGCTCCCGCAGCTCCGTCCGTGCCAGTGCCGAGCAGCAAGGCCATGCCTAAAAAACCTGCAGCAGCCAAGAAGGCTGGAGCCATCAAGGGTAAGGGCAGCTCAGCAACATCAGTTCTAGAGAACAATTATAATTCCTGTGGGAAACAATCCCAGTGATTTCGCATGGCGTTCCAGGGCCTGGGCAACTGGAGTTTGCATTTCAGCAAAGATCTGAGGTTTGTGGCAGAGGTTCTCTGGTTGTCAGGTTTGAGGTCTGTTTCCAAACATATCATGTTCTAGTTCATGTTGGACATGCTTGGAGGGAGGGAATTTTAGTTTGGGAACAGGAAAAGTGAATGCTTCCTACGGTGCTATGTAATACTTGGCAGGGATAATCCGAGTGGAATTTGTGTCTTGCAGTCAATGTCCTACTTCATGTCTTTTTCGGAAGCAAGGCAAGCTTGGAGCAGGCAGGCTTTTGGGGGCAGTTTGATCTGTTCAATGCTGGATCCATCTCATCCATCTCCAGCATCTGACTCGGGGTTTTTTTAAACTCAGCTGCCAGACTTTGGCACTGTTTTGTATATTCCAAATGGAATCAACTCAGTGTTGATCCCAGCAGGAAAACAGTGTTACTTCCACTCTTAAATTGAGAAAGCGTGTTATCACTCAGAAATGGCCTGAAATGAGCTGAACTGGAAGTTGTGCCTCAAGATGTTCTTTTAAAAAGTGAATATATAGGTAAGAAGGAATGAGTGTTTGGGAAATTCCTTCCTCCCTGTGCAGGAGTCTGAAGGTCTGAGATGGGTTACGGAACCTTGAGAGATCAGGACTTTTTCAGTCTGAAATAGTCTGTAAATTGCTTTGGGGACGCTTTAATTTCATCCTCTAAGTGTGGCAGAACTGAGCAGACAAACAACCTCATTCCTCACCATCTGTGGAAGAGGGATCTTTCTGGAAAACCCAGCTTCAAACAGAGACGACCTGTGCGCTGACCCAACAGCGCAGAGCCTGTTTCTATTGGAAGTAATTCCCAAACTGGGAGCGAGAGAGGAACGAAACAGGGGTTTAACGCTGTGTTCTGTTCCAGACAACCAGCTCTCCATCAGGGATATCCTGGCCAAGAAAAAGGCTGCACCCAAACCCAAGCCAGCAGTGAAGGAGGAACCCCTGTGTGCCGAGGGTGACAATGCCAAGGGGAGGAAGGTTACGAAGAGACAGCAAATTTCTTCGGATTCCGATTCGGATTTTGGCTCCAAGGCTGCCAAATCTGTTGCATCAAAGGTTTGTGCAATGCTATCAGTGCTGAGGGAACCTAGGAGTGTGGGGTCAGTTCTGCCAGCAGGAAAAACTGGTGGAGGTCAAACCTCTACCTGGATGTGGGGAATGGGGAAGAGGGGGGTTATAGAATCATGGAATGTTCTGAGCTAGAAGGGACCCATAGGGATCACAGAACTCCCATCCCTGCACAGGACACCCCAGCAATCCCACCGTGTGCTGAGAGCATTGTCCAAACACTCCTGGAGCTCTGTCAGCCTTGGGGCTGTGCCCATTGCCTGGGGAGTGTGTTCAGTGCCTGAGCACCCTCTGGGATAAGAACCCTCATAAGGGTCAGACAGCCTGGATCCTTGGTCTGCTCCCACCACCTCACCCACTGGCCCCATGGCACAGGAGGTGTGTGGTGCTCGTTGTGTTCCCTGTCAATGCTCAGATCCATGATTGCTTCCCTTCTTTCCCTCCAGAAATCCAAGCTACAGGACAGCTGTGACTCTGGTGATGCAAGTCCTGTAGCTCAGCCCCGTGCCAGGCCTGGCCGCCTTAAAAAACCTGTCCAGTACCTGGAGGAGTCCTCAGAGGATGATATATTCTGAGTTTATAGAAAAATTTTAAACTCCAGATCCACAATGAGCCTTCAGCTGCGCTCCAGAGCTCCCACCAAAGACCACCTGAGCCTAGGAAATCTTCACTAAACATGAGCTGCTCCAGAAATGTTCATTACAGGTGAACACAGCTCCGTTTTTCTTAGTTTTAAAGAAGTTAGATTTGTTTAAACAGGAACATTCCCTTTTTGGTGAACACTGGAGCCACATGCCCAGCGAGTGCTGCCACACTTTCCTCTTCCCCATTGTTCGACACTATGTGGTCATTTTAGTGTTAAATTTGACTTTAGAACGTGTCAAATCTTTTAAAATTTATATATCTCTCTTGAAATACCTTGCAGTACTAAAATTTTTAATTCCACCACTCAACACAGGAATCATTTTTCCAGCACTATTCCTTCACTATGTAAATATTCTTTGTGGGGTTTTTTTGTTGTCCTGAGTTTGTTCATTTAAATATTTGTCTAATAAAAGTGGTTTTACTTATTTTCTTCACTGAATTTGTGTGTTTTTAGGGAAATAACAACTGCAGAGTTTGTGCTAAGCCCCCACTCTGTCACAGCAAAGGGTTTGGCACAAGCTCTGGAGGGTGTTGGGCTGGTTGGCCACTTCCCCACTGGCTGTGGCCACTGTGGCTCCAGCTGAATTCTTGTGAACACCCCTGTGGTCCCCGGCACGGGGGGAGCTGCTTGCCCAGAGCAGTTGTGCTTGCCCAGAGCAGTTGTGCTCAGCCCATCCCTGGAAGTGTCCAGGGCCAGGTTGGAACAACCTGGTCTAGTGGAAGGAGTCCCTGCCTATGGAAGGGGATGGACTGGGATGAGCTCTAAGCTCCCCTTCCCATCCAAACCATTCCATGATTCCATGAAAGCCCAGGGCCCCCCGTGCTATCGGTGCTTTGCTGGAACCCAGTCAAGTGTGGAAAGCACTGTCAGATTTTCCACTGGCTCTGGAGAGCGTCTCCAGCGCGTCCCCTCCGAGGGCCGGGCTATTTACGGCTCCTCTTGCTGCAGAACACGACCCATGACAGAGCCACGGGTGGGTTGTGGGGCTGCTCTCAGAACTCTGCATCACCCTAATGTGGATGGAGAGCTTTGGGAGCACAGAGTGGAGCACGGAGTCCATACCAGCAGTTTCCCATCCCAAAACCTTGGATGGGGTGCTGGGGATGTTGTTGGATGGGCGCTGGGCTCTGGGGCATCAGGCACTGACCCACACTGGGCATTGCACATCCCCAAGGGCTGAGGGTGGAATGAGGGTGACCTGTGTTATCCAGGGCTCTGCTCCCATTTCTGGAAAGGGGATTTGAGGGGCCACCAAATTGCTGTCAGCACTGGCCAGGGACTGGCAGGAGCCCTGGCTGTGCCACACAGGATTTTGTAGGGGTTATTCTACACATGCCAGAGCTGGGGACAACCTGGGAAGATCCATGGAAGCCCCAACAGCCCTGGCACTGTGTCCTGGGACAGAGAGGGCTGGTGCCAGCCGTGAGCATCCCCCAGGCACTGCAGGGCTGGAGCTGTGGCAGCATGGGTCAGGGGGTGATGCCCTCTCATGGGTCAGGGGGTGATGCCCTCTCATGGGTCAGGGAGGCGATGCCAGCAGAGGGGGGGGCGCTTTTGGGGGCCGAGTGCTGTGGCCTGGGGACCCTGAGCCCCAGTGGGTTCGGGAAGGATAAAGTTTGGGGGTATTTCTGCACTCGGGGCGGGCACCACCCCTCTCCCAACCTATGTCCTGGGCAGCTGCTGGCCCTGGGCAGGGCAGCTTTTGTCCCTGAGCCCCACCGGCAGTGCTGAGACCTTCCCTCCCTCCAGGCGCCCCTGGGGGTGCTCTGTCCCTTTAAAAGGACTCCAGGCGTGGCCGTGGGACCATTATCCCGTTCCAGCTGGACAAAGAGACTGGACAGTCCGGGACAGCCCTGGCCGGCCGGAGCCAGCAGCGCTGGCACACCGTGGACCGCAGCGTCCGCAGGTACGGGGCTGTTGTGGGGGCCGAGCTGCGGAGGGGGACGAGGGATGGGGAATCTGCTGCTCCTGCCCCTGTTGGTGTCCTTGTACCCATCCCTGGGGAAGCGAGTCCTGGGCACAGCGGGTGCCTGGGGACACTCGTGACGGGGCTGAGCTGGACTGGCAGTGCCCGGGCACCCTCCCGTGAGCGGGGACTCCGTGGTGCGTTTGGGAGCGGCGGGAGGATGGAGAGCTGGAGGGGCCGCGCTGGCACCGGGCTCCGAGCTGGCGGGCACTGCGTCCCCCTAGCGCTGACCCCGCTCCCGCAGCGCGGCCATGGGCGAGTGGGGCTTCCTGAGCTCGCTGCTGGACGCCGTGCAGGAGCACTCGCCCATGGTGGGCCGCTTCTGGCTGGTGGTGATGCTCCTCTTCCGCATCCTGGTCCTGGCCACCGTGGGCAGCGACGTCTTCGAGGACGAGCAGGAGGAGTTCGTGTGTAACACTCAGCAGCCGGGCTGCAAACCCGTGTGCTATGACGCCGCCTTCCCCATCTCCCACTATCGCTTCCTCGTCTTTCACGTCGTTGTGCTCTCGGCGCCCG